CATCAAAAACAAACCATTCCTTGCTGTTTAGTTCAATCACTGTTCAGAAGCTTTACCATAATAGCTTTCTGCAGTTTCTTTTTGCAGTTTACTAACACTTCTGTGTACTTAATCTCAATCACTTCTCTCAGCAATTTTATGAGGTTGGGATTATTGCATAGCATTAGAAAGAAGGAAACTGAGGCTCAGCAACATAAAGCAATTCCTTAAGACTGCAGGGTCTGTAAGTCGCAAACCTTGGACATTGAAGGAAGGCCCTCAGGGTTTGGGTCTTGTGTCAGTTCTCACAGACATACTGCCTTTATGTGATTCATGCTATGAGGGGCTGCCCAAGTCCCCTTCAGGAACGAAGGACTTATTCCTTACTCCTGCTGCTGGCAGGAAGCTCTCAGTTTCATCCATTGCTGGGACTGCCATGGCTGAAGAGACAAACCTCAGCCAAGTTTATGCCTCTTCCCCGCATCAGTTGTATCCAGTGACATTCAAGAACAAGGCACAGCCCCCCTGGGAAAACGCTGAATGGTCATCTCATTAGTCTTGCCAATGGGTTTCAGCCCTGGACAAGTTTGCTATGGATTCAATGAGATGGAAAAAATGACAATGGAACATTCTTGGGGTGAAAGGGTTTATTACCCAACTTTATTCCCACGGTGGCCGGTCAATCACTAGAATCCCATCCACTCAGAGCAAGTCTGCATGCAGCAAGCCAGTCTTTGCCTCTGGGCACCTCTGCTCCGTAGCCCTCTCAGTCTCTGTTCTCAGGACTGCCAGCACTCCAGTCTCTGCTCTCCTGCAGCCCTGAAACCATGCAGCAGCCCAGAACACTGGGCGAAGCTCTTTATATGGAGTCAATAACAATGCATTGCCCACATGTGTGTAGTGAGCAAGTCAACCAGGGTGAGGTGAGAATCCTGGCCACAGGAACCTTCACATTCTCCACATGACTTCAGGGGTCCCCACACGGTTGCAGAGGCCTCCATCAGACTTCTGGCAGCATCATGTCTCCCTCTACCTGCCTGCAGTTCTTTCCTTCCCTTCCACAGGTGTTGATTCTAAGTATGCTTTCTAAAAGCTTCTGTGCTAATCTCTGGTTAATGCACCTTGATATCCTAAATGTGCTATCACATTTGGTAGTGTGAAAAAAATCACACAATGCACCTGAAAGTTTTGTCTAGAATTCCACTGCTTAACAGATATTAATTGAGCATTTACAACTTAACTAGGTATTAAAGATACTTTAATTGAATAAAACTCCATTTCTTTTAAAATGCTCATTCTATTTATCTCCAAGGCAGTTATGTTGTAATCCAGAATAAAAGAGATAAAAATAAATATTTATATTTACCTTAACTGGTTAGGAAGAAGATTTTATGGATTCTGAAAACATTGAAAAAAAAATTTTTTTGATGACTTTTGTAGATCATGAATCTGGAAAATGAATCTGTAATTTGCTAGGAGGTCACAGTCATCTAGTTCTTTTAAGAATTCCATTTTATTACTAAGGTCAAACACCCAGAATTTAAGTATGTAAAGACATACTAAGCTAAAATTTAGGTTAGATACCCTGAATATAAGGACTCTGGGCAAGAGAACCCATTTTTTTAAATTGAAATTTGAGGATTAAATAAAAAGTACAAAATGAGTTTCTCTGGTATAATCTGCCATTATTATCCCACTTTGAGACCAATCATAGCAAGTCTATCCTAGGCTTGTGGCAGAGGCATTTGACACCAAGCACTTAATTCTGACATCTGGAGATGTTAGTACTGTGGGGTGGGAAGTGGGAGGAAAGTACTTTTGGCCATATAAGTATTTCATTTACCAAAAGCTTATGGCCTTTCAACTCTAACCAGAGAGGTCCATACAGAGGCATTGTTCTGGGTTCCCTGTTGTGACTTAAAGGGAAATTTTTCACAATGTCCAGAGTCCTTGATGTCCTCCAAATGAAGGAAGAGAATGTCCTCAAATTCTTTGCAACAGAACCCACTTTGGTGACACCAACCTTAACCTCCAAATGGGAGAGTACACTTTCAAAAGGAAAAATGATGGCATCACCTTTTATATATGAAGAGAACCTGGGAGAAACTTCTGCTGGGAGCTTGCACCATTGTTGCCATTGAAAAACTGGCTGATGCCAATGTCATGTCATCAAGGAATATTGGCCAGTGAGCTTTGCTAAGTTGCTGCTGCCACTGGAGCCACTCCTAATCAGGCCACTTCACTACTGGGACCTTCACTGATCAGGTACTTCAGGGAGCTATGTCTTCTGGTGGTTACTGATCCCAGAGCTGACCATCAGTCTTTCATAGAGGTTTCTTATGTTAACCTGCCTACCACTGAATCTCTGGGTAGCACAGATGTTCCTTTGCACTACATGGATGTTGCCATCCCATGCAATAATGCAGGAGCTCTCAGCGAATTTGAGGTGGATGCTGTCTGGGAAATTCTGCAGATGTGTGGCACCATCTCTGGTGTGCACCCATGGGAGGCTTAGTCTGATGTCTACTTCTACAGAGATCCTGAAGAGAAAGAAAAGGAAGAGCAGGTTGCTGCTGAAAAGGCTGTGACTAAAGAGGAATGTCAGGGTGAATGGACTGCCCCAGATCCTGAATTTACTGCTTCTCAGCCCAAAGTTGCAGACTGGTTTGAAGGTGCAGGTGCCCTCTGTGTCCATCTGGCTGTTCCTGACTGGAGACCAGAGTGCTCAGCTGGCCACTGAGGCCTGGTCTGCAGCTCCCACTGCTCAGGCCCCTGAATGGGTAGGAACAACCACTGAGTGGTGCTAAGCTGTTCTTCCACAGACTCTTAAACAGAAAATGGAAATGAGATTGACAGAAAATAATGTAGAAAAAAAAAAGGAAGGAAAGAAGAAAGCTTGTGGGTAAAAATAGATGGCCTGAGCCTAGAGAATTAGACAAATTAGTTAAGGTCCCAGTTCTACCACTTGCTGCAGAACACTCAGCAAATTATCTAATATTTTGGAATATCAGCCTCATCTTAAAATGTAAGCTCCATGAGGGCAGGGACCAAGTCTGTTCACTGTTGTATGTCAAGTGCCTAACAAGCCTGGCACTGTGGCATTTGGTGCCACATCAAATAGAGGATTGAAGGAATGTGTTGAGAAAGAAAGAAAAGCAAGAGCAACCCCTGACATTCAGAAGCTGGCCTGTACTCACAGGAAGGTCATGTTACTCTTCGGTTAGACATGCAATTTCAAAGAATACCAACCTCAAAGTTATTCTGAGACCATGATAAAATGAGATAATACCAGGCCACTGCACAATTTTGTCTAAGCATAGACAAGTACAAGGTACTGTGCCACCCACAAAATATCAAACACTCCTTCTCTTGGCTAAAATGAGTGACTGCCATCCTTCTACCTCTTCTAAACATAAGATTTATTAGCTCCCATCATAGCACTGCCTCCGCTTTCTGACAGCATCCAATCTAGAAGCAAATACCTGCTTTCTTAAACTCTTCCACAAGTCACCCAACCAAAGATAAAATTCTGTGACAGATTTTTATCTAACACCTTCTTACTGAGACATTCCATAATTCCTCATGGTATGTTTGCACTCACTTCAGTGAATAATAAACACAATCTGTTTAACTACAGTTGTGTTCCTAGTGGTATTTGGATTAAGACAAATGATATTGTGAATGGAAAATATGGGGAGAAAAGCAATCTTTTCAGAGTTGTTGTATCAAATAGGTATTTAATTTACCAACATACATGGAGAGTCTGTTTTGCACCAGGCCCTATACTAGGTGCAGCGAATACTGAGAAGAACAAGATCTAGACTGCTTTCCGGGAGTTTGAACCTGTGGAACATGCCGAGTAGAAAATTTATGATCCAATTTAATGTTGTGGTACTGTTATAGAGGCATACACCTCTGTTATAGGACCACACATAAAATAAAAGATCTTTGATTAGATATGCACCCTCCAGAACTGTAAGATAATAAATTTGTGTTGTTTTATGCCACAAAATTTGTAGTGATTTGTTAGAGTAGCAAAAGGAAACTAACATAGGATACTTGATCTTAATGTTTAAGGTGGAGTGTCCCAGGCATAAGCAAAGGTAGACAGTTCCTTTTGGACCTGCCAATTGGTCTGTGTGGCTGTGTGCTTAGGTATGTGATAGGATATGTCAGGGTCAGATCCTGAAACATCTTCTTTCTATGCAGATAAATTGGAAATAATCTGGAAGGTGATCAGAAACCAGTGAAAGATTAAAAGCAGTGAAATGTGACAAAATCAGATTGGCATTTTAGAAGGATGGATTAGAGTCTGGAAATAAGGAGAAGGAATGAGAGACTACTTAAGAACACTAGGCAAGAAATGAGGCCTTCTTTGATGGCCCTCATTAAGAATACTTTACTTTTTACTTGACATTTGGGATAAGAAGGTGGAAAAAACATGGCTGTGCTCTTCAAATACTGGAAGGTCTGTCATGAAAAAGAGTGATTTGACATGGTCTTTGTGGCTCTAAGATCAAGGTGTTAACTCATAAGGAAATATTAAGTGCACTATTTGGAAGCACATTCTAATAATTGGAGTGTCCTGAAAATAACAAAGACTTCTTCACAAATAGTTAGGCCTTACATTTTTTTCCTTCATCTATTCAACAAAGACCATTTGAACAGTTAGGATGTGGCAGGCATTAGGCCTATGCCTATTAACTGAATGGATAAAGCCTCTGATGGCGTTTACTCTAATTTCTTTGTGCAATGTGGTACTGTTTAATTTTTATATAGTCATTTCAACCAAGAAGCAAGATCCCAATAGGGATACCTGGAAAGTGACTTATTTACACGTGCAAAGTTAGATGGGAGTGAGAAAATCGGAAAGGAAGAAAACCCAACGGAAGACATAGAAAGATGGAGCTCTGGGCTGCGCCTCCCCACGCCCTCCTATCGGGCAGGCCTCCCGCCCCCGCCCCCGCCCCGCCCGCGCGGCTCGCCTGCCCCTCCCCTTCCTCCGCCCCACTGGCCCGGGTTTCTCTTCCCGCGGGATTTCGAGCTCCTCTCGCGGGATCTTTACCAGCTCGGAGCTGGCAGTAGTGGCCGCGGAGGGGCGTCGGGTGGTTGTTCTGTTGCTGTTCTCCCCGCCGATCCCGGCCTGGCCCAGAGACGCTAAGTAGGTGCTGGGGGCCGAGACCCGGGCTGCTGTCGCGGAGGGCTCCTGGGAGAGCGTGGGCCGGCCTCGGGCCGCTCGTTGCCGCGTGCGCGCCGCCGCCCGGGAGCCCGCGTAAGGCCCCACCGCGTGAGCGCGAGCTGCGGGGTGAGCGGGTGGCCCCCGGGCGCTGCGACACCGCCCCGGCCTCCTGCCGCGCGGGACCCAGGCCCGGGCCCAGGCGCCAGCGGCTGCGGATGGGGGTGTCCGCGGCGGCCCTCGCCAGCTCCGAGCCTTCGTGGGCCTGGCGGGGTTGGCTCCCCGGTGACCCCGCAGGACCGCGGCCCAGATGGCAGCTCCAGGATTCGTTTGGTTCTTATATTAGAGAAGTTACTGGTTGCAGGGTTAACAAATAGAATTGTTTCTATTTGCTGCTTTACGGGGCTTGCAGTATATCAGAGGCAGAAGGGAGATTTGTATAAAGAGGTGAAGAGACAAATGACTTAAATCCCACGATTGTTTTTCTCTTTTAAAATCAGAGTATACAGGAAAATGGAGTACATGACAGAATCCACCGATCGCAGCCCAGGACACATGTAAGTCGCGTTCCTTTACTCCCATGCCCCTTACATTTAAAGATGTTAAAGTGAGTCTTTGAAACGCCTTGGAAAGATTTTTTTGAGGGGGAAATCTGTTGTAAGTGGGAAAAATGAAAAGCCTTATTTCCTGTTAAAGTCGAGTTCATATTCAGTTGGAAAGTTTGTTGTAGTAAATCCTTGAATTGAGAATGTTCAAAATATACCCTATGCATTCTTCTAGATTGACACCGAACGGTAGGATAGCCATTAGCCGCATGCAGCTATTTCAATTTAAAAAAATTAAAGTGAAATAAAATTCAATATTGAGTTCTTTACTCATGCCAGCCACATTCAGGTCCTCTGTAGGCACGTGTGCCTGGTACTATATTGACTATCACAGATTGTAGGACATGTCTTTCTGATAGCATCAATGATCTTAAACATTTTCTGCCCCACTAGCACATCTATGGTTATGACACTCATCAGTTATACTGAAACACTAAATATGCTACTCTTTCTATTCTTTAAAAATTTTTCTGCTCTGGGTAAATGTTTACATTTTGGCAGTCGCTGGGCTATATTTAGGCTTTAAAAAAAGTCTTTGCACTATAAAGCTCAAATGATGACTTTTAGAAATAATTTAGAATTTCTAGATCCTTTGGACATGGGCTGTGTTGTGAGGATCTTTGGAATTATAATCCTTGTTTTTTGCCTCAGTGTTACAAGGTTCTTTATCAGCTATGCTGTTGAAGATTCTTCTAAGTTACTTTTTTTAAAAAGGGCAGAGATATTATGGCTTAACTTGAAGGCTTTGTTTGATATTTAAAAATTTTAACCAGTGAATTAATGAAATTTAATTTGAAAAATTCATACTTCATTTATTTAAGCTTGTGCTGTGAGTGTGGCATCCCAATTAGTCCAAATCCTGCCAATATTTGTGTGGCCTGTTTGCGAAGTAAAGTGGACATCAGCCAAGGCATTCCGAAACAGGTCTCTATATCTTTCTGCAAACAATGCCAAAGGTATGGTGCATTACTATTTTATCCTACTTAAACGTTGGGATTTATATATAGGAGAGCCACCAGGACACACCGAGATTACACCAAGATACACAGAATAAAGTACATGTAACTGAAGTTTAATTTTTATTTATGTTGGTATACTAAAGATTTTAGAATTTTCAATTTTATAGTGTACTTTTCTAGGTTGCCCTGCTAATCTGGTAAAGATGGTGTAATTTGAATCTGTTCTTTTTCTTTTAAGAGATTAATAGCTTCGGTGTATACACTTAATAATGTATACGAGTTGATATTTGTAAGGGTAAGTGAAAGCAGATTATTAAGGACATAGTACTGTTACTACCATGAGGGTTTTTTTTCCCCCTTTTAGCAACCAGAAGCTATGTATGATAAAAAACACCTTATGTTTTAAATAATTTAGCAGTGGTTTTAAAAATCAAATGAATTTCCTATGTAGCTAAAATGACTATAGTTCATGGGGAAAAAAAAGCTCTGTAAATCATATTTAGTATGTTCTGAAATAAAGACTAGAATTGAAGATAGGAGACTTCTGAAAGTTAGTGTTGTATTCCTTTATTTTCTTTACTTGGCATAAACAGTTCCTATCTAGTAAGCCATTGAGTAATACAAAACTTTCCGATAAAACTGCCCATATAAAATTATATTCCTGTGATTTCTCAAGTGGGTTGGAACTCTTGAGCGTCTTAACTTTTTTGATAGAGGTCACTATTCCTTTTGAGAACTTGAAAATTATCACCCGAGAAAAATACTTAAAACATGTACTTACACAGTCACATGGAATTTTGTGTATTGTTACAGGGATTTTACAATTTGCAAGCTTGGCAAGTGTGAAGCTTATTATTCTATTATGAGTATTTGCATATTCTTAAAAGCATGTTGGAATGAAAAAAGTCCTGGACAAGAACCAGGAAATTTGAGTTCGCCTTGGCTCTCAAAAAGCATCCTTTTGAAACTCTTGGCCAATTAACATCTATAAGCCTTAATTTCCTCATCAGGATGAAGGCACTTTATTAGATGATATGTGAAGCCTTTTCTAACTCCAAAAACATGCTTATTATAACAAAGGAACCTGTGTAAGGTATTTGAGTGAACCTTTAAAAGTAAAAATCGGAACATTCACCTGATAAGTATTCACTCAGTCAAAAAAAGAGCATTCACAAAACACATTTAGAAATATCATGTCTAACAAACATTTATTGAGCACTTACTGTGTGCTAGGCACTGTCCTAAGTCCTGGGTGTGCTGGGCTAAAAAATGTAAAAGCATATACATAAGGGATTTGATGTGTAATTTAATCAGGTTTTATGTAAGATTTTAAAACTTGAGTTTTACAGTTCAAAATTTGGAAAGGGTCTTGAAATGGATGAATAGTCTGAACTATTGATACA